CTAGGTAACAGAGATATAGCTGCAAAGCTGTTGTACCAAATAGAAGGAAACAGCCAAGTGTTTCTACTTTTCAACTATTTTTGAGTTTGGAGTATGTAAGCCTTAGGACTATCACTACTTCAGGGATTACAAGATACAGGACCAGAGAACTGCACTTCAATTTTAGTGTGTTTGTTTTTGTCACTTTTAAGTGCACATGTTCTAGGATTGCGCAGATGATGTCAGATAACTTGTAAAATAAATCATAGCAGAGGTTGGGGGTTTTTCATAGCAGAGGTTGGGGGTTTTTTTTGTTTGGTTGGTTGTTTTGATTTGTTGGTTCTTTCTGAGAAAATGTTCTATGTAGTAAAATAGGTTCTTTCCATGAATGAAAAAAAAAAAAACAACAAAACAACCAACCAAGAAAGTCCAAACAAAATAAAACAAAAAATAACAAGAAAACACAAAATTTGCTATTCTTGCTTTCTACCGGGGTTTTTTTTTTGTGGGTTTTTTTTTGTTTTTTTTTTTTTTCAGAAATTAACTATTTATTTGTGTAGGAAGCCTAGTTCGTAAATGGAGAAAAGGTTATGTAAATTATGCACAGTGTGTACATTACTCTCATGTGTGAAGATAATTATATAGAATTTAGTAGGTCTTTTCACAAGTAATATATTCCCAGTAGTTTGTTTTTCTCAATTATGTCAAGCATAAATGACTTTTCCTCACTATAAATGTTGATGTACTTAATCCCCATTTACCATTTGTGTGTCATTGAGACAACAATTTCACAAGTAATGCTTTCTAAATTAGAACATAAATAAAACAACTAAGTTTTTTGGTGTGCTGCTACTCCAGCCTGGGGAAGATTTCCTGTAAGCAGAGCCTCACTCTTGTGATTTAAACATCTGCTTTACATTTCCTTAAATACTATGGTGAAAGGCAGTCATGGAGATGAGATTAGAAGGTGATTTCTTAATGAAACTGCATTGTGTTGTCTAGCAGTGTCTCACTGTTTCCTTCTCATTCCCTTATCTGTCAATTGCATCCACTGATCATGTTTGTGCTTATGTTCAAGGCTATGGAGTCTTTGCTGTAAACGCTACTTTCAGTGATGTAGGTTATTTTTGCATTACATATTATGATCTGCCATAAACAATATCTAAAACCCCCCAAACTCTAGGGCAACCGAAAACAAAGCATTTGTTTCTAATATTTTGTTTGGTTTTAGTTTGTTCGGGGTTGGGTTTTTTTTTGGTTTTGTAAAGTTATTTTAAGATACAGTAGAGTGCTCCCAATGTGATTAAATGCCCGAGTATTGTTCTCCTGACCCTTATATACAAACTATGTGCTCATGTGCGATGACCTTGACATCCTTTCCAGATAAAGAGAGAGAGGAATACTACTTCCATATTAGAGAACTGTGTCACAGTCTGGTTACAGGGACCGTGAATTAGTTGATAAAGCTATTTTTCTTATGGGTTGGGCTAACCTAATAAGATAAGTGAGAAACAAAATAGCATCTGTTTTAAACCATAAATGACGGCCAATGGAGATTTTTCTGAAAGGTGTTAGCAGTACTTTCATCATGTGGACTAGCTTTCAAACAAGTTAGTGAAGCACCTGAAGAATTACAGTGGGCTCTATCAAACGTAAAACCCACACACTAGAAGCCAATGGACTATTATGGTTGGGACTGTAATTCAGTGAGGTTCATCGGCAGAGTGAGCAGGTATACACCGAGAGCAGATTACAGCTGTTATTTACAGAGATGGTACAAATAACCTCATAAAGAGGGTAGGCTTTAACATTATATATAAAAAAAGTATAAACCAAGCATCTGCTGAAGATGGGTTGTAGAGATATAAAATTGTTTTGTGAACCGTATTCGACTTGCAGCTGGTTTTAAGAGTGCCATTATTATTAATGTTTCAGTGTCTATAAAAAAGCTACTTTTCAGATGATTGACATCATCTACCCTTAATTCTATTTTCATTAATATTAAAAAACATTAATATTTTCTGTTATTAATTAATACAATGTATTGATAATTTTGAGCTACTTTTCAGGTTATAAATATTTCCAAAGGGCATCACATGAACAGGAAAAATAAAAATGAAAAGTTATCTTGGTGTAGAACATAGATTTTAGCAAACTGTTCTCGGGAAATTATGTTCTTCTGTTGATGAGGTAATATAAATCATACATATACTAATACCATGTAACTTAAGATATTTTAGTGACACTGGTGTGGTAGCTTTACTAAAGAGTGTGGCTATTAACAGCTTTCTGTTCTTAATTGATGAATAAAGTTTTTATGCACGTAGTCAAACTTGTGGCAATAGCAGTCTCAGATATCTTTGTATTAGACAGCATTTATGTTGTATATTAAAAAGAATAGTACAAATATTTTTCCCTTCTGGAAAAATGCAAAAATAGTTCATAAACATGTAATATAAAAGTGCTCTTATGTGACTATTATGCTGGTTTCAGAAGTTTGTGCTATGCAATGGGAAATGTACAAGAAAGAAATGCTGTAGAAAATATGACTGTATTCTTTCTCTCTGAATAGGTATTGTGAAAGAATGCATTAGTTCATCATTCCTTAAGCTTTAGATGTGAAGTAAATGTCTAAAGTGCATTGAAATGTCTTTGCTGGATTGCAACTGAACTTCCTTTAAAACTTTTTTCCATAACCTAATAAAAGTAGGAAACGCAACTAATTATGACAATGCTTTTCATGATCATGTGATACATAAATATTTTTTCTCTAAATTTACATACTTTGTATGTATGATCTCTCATGCAGAGTTCTTTGTGTGGCCCATGCAGAAGCTGTCCGCATTTAATAAATAATCTTTATTATTCTAATGAACATTATCATTGTTGTCTTTGTAGAGGTGAGAACCTATATTCAACTCTTGATTGAGAATTAAAGTAAGAGACATTGCCCTGTGCCTCGAGGACAAAAAAAAATTGTCAGTGTGACTTTTTTGTTCATTTTCCACTTCTTTTTCTGACTCAGACATATAGCGATTCATCAAAAATACTGTGACAAATCTGGGATTTAACAGATATTATTGAGAAATAAACCACTTATGTTGTGTATCTGTAAAGCAGAAATAGCTCTTTGCATTTTTTGAATTGCAGAATGACAACTGTTTAATTAAAAATAATTTACAGGGGATAAAATCTGGACATGGTATGTAAGTCTGAGCAGCATACTGTATAAGAAATAGTATTTATCTTTTTGCCTTCATGCCAGGAGTATAGGTAAAATGAGGTTATATTTCAGCTGCACCAGAGTAAAACAAAGCTGTCTCTCTCTGAGGGTACCACAGCCAGAAAAGTTATCTAGGGGAAACAATGATGATACTTGTTTTCCTGGCCCAGTCTTGGCATTCACCCAAATGAATCAGAGTATGTTAAGTGCTGTCTTCCCTCCCCACCACCTGGACCCCACAGCCTTTCAGATGGAAAGGTTCGTTCACTGCAGCTCCGGAATAGCTAAGGAATAAACATGTTTTCTTACTGAGTAGTTTTTCATTAAACTCCTGAAAAGCAGTCATGTAGAACGCAGCTCTTACAAATGGTATGTCTTCAATCTCCATGCCTCTGGCAGGTAAGGACAAATATGCAAATAGTATATGTAGCTCAGGCTGTCAGACATCTACATAACAGGCAGTGGCTTTTAGAAGAAAATGAAATAAAAAGCCAGAGTGGGTTTGATTCCCAGAAGTATTTTGTCTACTTCCATGATTTAGCTTCTATCATAGGAGTCCTTCTTTTCTAGGTCTGAGTGTCACTAGGATAGTGAGAAGCGTTTAGGAACTCTTTCGCTCTTTACCTTACGAAATGGTGATAGAGGTGTATTTAGCGGTACAGTCACTGTAATGCACATGCCGATAAATACAGCAAAATAATAAACTCCACTCTCATACACGTGCATTAGCCATTTCTTAAATGGGATGTACTTGCAAAACAAAACAACTGCCTGAGGAATTTCTGTGAGGTAAATAATTGTTCCTCATTAATATTTGTATCTTCATCATAGCATCTAAAAAAAGCCAAACCTGAGTTTAGCTTTCTTTGCAAATCAGGGTATTGTTCTAGCCTTGAATTCATTAGTTGAAGTTAACTTAGGTAATAGCTACCTGTAAATATATGTTTGCAACAAATACAAAGTATTTTTCCTGGTCCACATTTACATATCTCATCAAAACACTTTTGAAGTACCAAGGTTATCTTAATAAAAGCAAAAACTTCTGAACAGTTTCTCTGTTCAATTTAAAATGTTCAGCAACTGATAGAAGAGAATACCAGACATACACTGTTTGGTGCTTTGTCTTAGAATAAGTAGTGACTGTAATCAGTACATGTAGGATATTTGCTGTAGCTATTTCTGCTTTATAGAAGACTTCATAATGAAAAGAATAAATGAGATCTTGTAAAAAATATCCCTTCTCTTCTTCTGGCAGTCCCAACTTTACTTGTTCAAATAAGTTTGGTATGTCCAGTAAATTAAAAGTTACAGCTAGCTTATGAGTCCTCAAGTTGAATTTCTACTTCTTTAAGTCAAATATTATGATTAAATATATTCCTTAGAATGTATTATTTTCTATCACATTTGCAGTTTTTGCTGCATATATTACATTGTAGTATTCACTTTTTGAAAGTGTATATGAAACACTTTACCAAAGGTAAACTTTTAAAAAATCTTCAGATGCACCTTTCCAGAATGATCTAAATGAAAAAGTACAGGCTTGGAAACTGTTAAAACTTTCTTTAGTTTCCATACACAGATAATTTTGTCTACAGAAAGTGTCTATAGTATCTACAGAAAGTTCAATAATTTTTTGGCCTTAAGCTGAAGACCAGGCAAGAAAATGGTATGGATCCAACTACTACGGAACAGATTCCTTACCTCTTTTTTTTTTTTTTTTTTTTTTCTTAATTTAATTTTAAACTCTTATTAAGAAATTAAATTCAGGATAATGTTGTATTGTGTATTCCCTTTTCAGGGGATAAATGCAAACCTACTGAATACGCCCAAGTGAAAAATATGTTACTGGATCTACAGAGTCGGAGATACATTGCACCGTCAGAAGATAAAGTTGTTGATGAGAAAATGGCTTTAAAGAAACTTCTTGTAGATCAGATGTTTCATTATTTTGATTCAGACAACAGTGGACTTGTGGACACTAATGAATTATCTCAGGTAAGGTTTAGATTTCGTTTCCATTAGCACAGTAACTATTCAGTTGTCTCTGTCAGGACTTGCACACATGGAATATTATTATGTCTTGGTATGCTTTCACTTTAGAAAATATATGTGAGTTTCTGAGGTGGAAAACTTCGTTTAAGAATTTTTGGAAAGCTGAATTATGGAGAAATTCTGCATTGATTGTTCAGAAACTTGAGTATAATGCTTTGGGGGTTAGAACACCCTAGGTTGTGCTGATTTTGAGTTGTTTTATTATTCACGGCATGCTATCAGAAAATCCAACTGTATAGATGTATTATAGAATTTGAAAGCAATTAAAATGATATAATGCTAGACAGGTATTATTGCACTGTACAAGTTGGTGCTAGAAAAGTGCAGAAGTAGTCTTGGAAAAAGAGTTCATGATAGTCTCTAAATGGCATATGTAATATAGCTGAGCTATATTAATGAGTCTAATACCAGGAAGCCACTTAAAAATTAAAGAAAAATAAGATTTGTTAGATGCCACTGTTATAGAATCCTGTTGATGATTATTCTATGTTTTAAGTCACATGGCAGTTTTAAGAAGTATTTACGGGTGAATATATAATACCTAAGGTGTTAGGCTGGAGTTATTTCCATACAATTAACTTCTAAAGTTTTAGTAGCAACTTCCGGAACCAGAGGCTGCATGCAAATATAGGTATAATTTCAAATAATAATAAATGACCCACTTAAAAAAATTACTTTGTTGCCATATCCCTGACTTAACTACTGGGAAATAGTTGAACACTTTCACCAGTACAGATCCACTATCTAATTATCAGCAAATCACGCTTTCTTGATTAGAGGAGCAAGACTAAAGTAGTAGTGCTGAAGGTCAGTATCAAAGATATTTTCAATAATTTCCAGGTTTGTATAAAGAAACAACTCTTCTCTATTCAGCTGCTGGACATATACTTTCCCACTTTCCTTTGTTTCTTTGTGTCAGACATAGTTTAAGAGAAATAAATTCTTGCACTGAAACAGGTCAGCCAGGCTTAAAACCCAAACATGGTGCTTTGTGAATTGGCTGACATTTATTATAGAAACTTCAAAGTATTCGATCTACAGAATAATATAAAAAAAGTTCGTTGTTAGTGCTGTGTGGTTTGTTATTGTGTGTTTTGACAAGAGACACAATGAACTAACCTGTTGCCCTCAGAAATCGCTCTTTAGTCAGTTTGAACAGAGGGTAAAAAGAAAGATAAGCTGTACCTGTTTCTTGTGAAGCCTTCTCAATAGCAGAAGCTTCAGCTGAGAACCTTTGTCTCTTTTTCCTATGACAAAAGGAAACACCAAATCACCTTTGCAAAACACAGACTATATGCAGCTTTGCATGCAAACAAAAATACCTTGTCTTGAATACACTTGCCTAGAAGGTCTTGATTCATAATGTGAGCAACATCCCTGCCACTGAGAGAATGCTGAGCCCATAAACTTTCTTGGAGTGTGATTTTTGAGGGGGAAGGGTGGTGGAAGAATGTTAGGTCTTTCAGCTTCCCCAGGGCTGAATGGGAGTGTATTTGGTTTGAGTGGCAAGAAGGGTTAGCTTCTGTGAGAAGCTACTAGATGCTTCCCAACGTTCTGATAAAGCCAATGCCAGATAGCTCCAAGATGGACCTGCCACTGGCCAATATGTGAGAGAAGCAGCACTGCAGACGTCAAAGTCAGTGAAGAAGGAGGGGAGGAGGTTCTTCAGGTGCTGGAGCAGAGATTCCACTGCAGTCCATGGTGCAGACCGTGGTGAGGCAGGCTGTTCCCTGCAGTCTGTGGAGGTCCGTAGTGGAGCAAATACCCACCTGCAGCCTATGGAGGACCCCAAACAGGAACAGGGGGATGCCCAAAGAAAGCTGTGACCTCATGGGAAGGCTGCGCTGGAGCAGGCTCCTGGCAGGACCTGTGACCCTGTGGAGATAGGAGCCCACGCTGGAGCAGGTTTGCTGGTAGGACCACACAGGGGACTCACACTGGAGCAGTCTGTTCTTGAAGGACTGAGCCCTGGGGGAGGAACCCATGCTGAAGCAGTTCATGAAGAATTGCAGCTCGTGGGAAAGATCCACATTGGAGAAGTTTGTGGAGGGCTGTGACCCAAGAGGAGGACCCCATGCTGGAGCAGGAGAAAAGTGTGAGGAGTCCTCCCACTGAGGGAGGACTGGGAAGGGATGGGAAAGACAGCATGTGAAGAACTGACCTCAACCTCCATTCCCCATCTCCCTGTCAACCCAAAAAAGGCAAGCATTAGTGTAGTCTTGGAAATGTTCTCAGGATTAGGAGAATTTTTCTTAGTTATGACCACAATACAGCCAAAATTCTGAAATCTGCAGACCTGTCATAAATAATAGTGCTTGCCTGCATTTTGAGTTTAATCATATTAAGGGACTATGAAAAATAACATATTTGTTGTAGAAGACAACGGACTCCTGAAGTTAATTTATGTTCACGTGAAATTTCATCCTTTAGTGCATCTTAAATTTTACGTCTCCTCAATCTTTCTGTGCAATGAGTGCAATCAGGCTCTTGGATTGCATTTTATTGTCTCATAGGTGTCTATATAGTCACCATACCTCATATAAAATTGAAATGAATCAGTTGAAGATTGAAAATAGTGACAGGAGCACTCCAATTTTTATCAACGTATTTTGGATTAGAAATCATAAATTTCTTGCATCTGCATCTCAATGCAAGAGAAATGAATATTACCCTCCAGAAAAAGCAAAAATAGTGGTGTTTATAAAAAAAGTTGTTTCAAATAACAAGAAAGTTTTTTAAAAACTTAAGTATTATAACAATAAATCAAAAATCATCAGGCTTTTTTTTTTTTTTTTTAATAGTTTTAACAATTCTGGCATCTGAGTATAATTTTTTTCATGGCTTTGTAATAGTCTAATACAGAATTACAGTTAAAAAATAACAATCCATTGCACAGTGTAAATGTCAGGCCAGATAGTCTGCAATGAAGATAAAGTGGTGGAATTATGCAGCTCCATGCAGGCTAAGTGAACATTTTTTCCCATATAAACTCTTCTCTGACTTGACTGCTTTCACTGCTGAGCCTAACTCATTTAATGTTATAGTTTCCAATTCCTGTATTGGCAAGTCAGATGTGGCTTGATATTGGAAGAACTTATTAAGGAACTTAACCTTTTAGACCACTCTCTTTTGAGAGGTAGGTACTAATTAGAGTATCTACACTTCCAGAAGGGTGGGCTGTCAAATAGGCAAAACTTTTAGCATTTTCATCACCTCTGGTCAAAGATAAATGCAACATATCTATATGATTTCTAGTAAAGTGGGGTTGTTCCTTGAAGGGTTTATTTTGGTTTGTTTTTGAAGCACTCTAAAAGAATTTAAATGAATCTAAAATAAAGGAAGATAATTGATTCTTCTGATTAGCTATGAATATTCAGTTATTAAAACACTTATTTATCTGTTGTATTTTACCTTATGCAAAACCAAACTGGAATTTAATATGAAGTTATAAATGGAATTACTATTAGTCAGTGTTTCTATTTTGTAGACTGCTTGATTATTCCATATTGTTGTTGGTGTATAGAAGTGAAAAAACATAAGAAGTGTTATGGGGAGACATGGGAATAAAATGTATTTTTCCAGTGATGAATGCAGCTATTCCTGTATGGTGGAATTGCCATTTTATAAACAGTAAGCCTTTTCTGGTTACCATCAGTAACAGGGAAATACCTTGTGTGTGTGAAAGTGAAATAATCTATACCTGATTAGATTTACAGCTGCTGTCCTTCTATTTATTTCTCATACTAGTGGGCTAAGAAAGCAAAATTTTATTAAAAAGGAAGGGAAGTTGTCTGAAAGCAAGTTGAATATATAATAATAATAGTAAATTTTCCTCTTCCTTTCCTGCTTTTTTAATGATCTATTTTCTGGAATCAAAGAAAGAATTTATCATTCTTATGTAATAACTAATATCTGTGATTTCAAATACCTGAATGTATTTCTCTTATTTACCAGGTTAACAGAGGTCAAATTAAAGTGTTACATTTTTATAAAACATCATCCTTCTGCATTTTATTTTGATATTTATTCCTGCATCGTGCCACTGAGATCTGAAAGTAAAAAAAATGAATACCAAAAACTTTGTGGTCTTACTTCTCTATTAATGGTAATACTGCTGCACTTTATGCCAGCTGATAGTTTGTGGCACTTGTTTGCGAACCTACAATTGTGAATTGCATGTTTTCTGTCAGCACTGGTTTCTCAAACTTTTATCAAAATACTTTCACTGGCCTTTAATTTTTCATCTTTATGACTTCTGATTTTGCATCTTAACAGTGGTATTACTATGTGTTATTTGGAGGACATGGAACTGAGAGAAAGAATAGTAAGTGTTGTGGTTTAATACCAGCTGGCAACTAAGCACCACCCAGCCCCTTTCTCACTTCCCCACGGTGAGATGGGGACGGGATCAGAAGAGTAAGAGTGCAATAACTCATGGGTTGAAATAAAGACAGTTTAATAAAGCAAAAGCTGCACATGCAAGCAAAGCAAAAAAAGGAATTAATTCACCACAGAAATCTATATCTTATTTTTGAATTTTAAATCAACTTTGGTGTTTTGTACACGCGGCATAGGCAGAAGCATGTTTTGCCTATTAAGCTATAGTTCTACTAATTTCTGACTATTAGTTAGGGATATGTTATTATTTAGGTTTCATTATCTATTTTTACTATCCCTGAACTGAACTGAAACTGAACGTGCACTATATTCAATTCTAGATTCAGAATAAAAATAGGAATCCTACCTGGAACTTTAAAATGGGGGAGGAGGGGGAGATAACCTTTTAGGAATTAGTAGTGAGATGTACCTTACAAACACTGTGATCATAGAACTAAATCCTAACTTACCTGTGTTTGCTGCCTTTGCTTTTTATCAAGTAGAAGCACTTCCCATTATTTTCCTGTGTAAAGGATAATTCAGTTACTTTGCTGGATTAGAATTAT